GAGAAAATTAGAAAATAAAGAAGCAAAAGTTAAAAAACATAAGAAAATACGAAAAGCAAGGAAGTTTGAAAAGCTCTTGGGCTGTTTGGAGGGGTGACAGAGGTATTACTCATTGACATAGTAAGTCTCGCGAAAGGTGGCGACGAACACTTCATGATTCAATGCCACTGAAAGTCATAGACCCCCAACTCCAGCTTTTGATGGTTGAGAGTTTGTAATTTACAATAAATCTTCTAAAATATCTATATTCACAAGCAATTAACTAACATAAAAATTTTTACCATTTTTTGAACTAACCACTTTAAATGTCAATAGTTCTCTAGTATTTTTAAACCATATATCAGTATAAATGAAATAAAATCTTAACAAGTTAATTTCTAAATGAAAGAAGTCCTTCCAAATAACAAAGAAAATGTTTCGGTAACTAATGTCCTCACTTGACCACTTCAAAGTACAAGATAATTTCAACTTTTCAATTTGATAGGAATTTGGACCTAGTACTCGACCAATGTAAATTAAGGACACCTAATTGCTTATCCTCACCATTCTTAGTCCTTCTAGTCAAGGCAATTATCACCAGGGAGTATAAAAGATTTTATGTGAGCAGCCACATGCACTGAACATGATTTTATAATCGAATCAAGATGAAAAATACATCTACATTAATGGAATAAAATTTCAATTATTTCATCAACTCCAGTACATCCTGATAATCAAATTTTGTATAAACGTTAGTGTCAAAATCCGTGGTTTTTAAATCACCTCTGACTGTGATTAATATCACAATTTGGGGGGTAACAAATTTTATACTATTAGGGGGTGAGCCAAGGGGAACTAGGGTGAATTAACTTCACCTCCTAAGTGTTCCCAAACAAGGTGAATGGAGGTGAATGGTTCCCCTAACTTCCCTTCACCCTCATTCCCCTCAATCCAAACAAGCCCTAAGGACCTGTTTGGATTTGTAGGGGGTGAAGGGAAGTTAAGGGAAACTGAGTGAAGGGAAGAGAAGGGAAGGGAAGGGAATTCCCTTCCCCTTGGTTACACCCCAATTTGGGGGTAACAATTTTTATACTATTAGGGGGTGAACCAAGGGGAACTATGGTGAATTAACTTCACCTCCTAAGTGTTCCCAAACAAAGTGAATGGAGGTGAATGGTTCTCCTAACATCCCTTCACTCTCATTCCCCTCAATCCAAACAAGCCCTAAAGGATGGAACCCCAAAGATAGTGACTAATGCACAATCACAAAGGTAAAATGCTTGAAACCCTAGATGAAAACTAACTTCCCCGCTAATTTAACATTGTAGATGTTAAGATCCTCTAAACCTCGTGTATTCAGAAATCGATGTGAAAATTAAATTCACTCACAAAACCTTTCAACCAAGTATTTCAAAATAAAGTTTGTATGACATCTAAAACCATGAAACTAATAGAATCTGAAGCTTTCAATAAATGCAATATTCACAACCATGTGTAACTACAGAAAATGTAAATAATTCCACATTGGCTAGTTCCACATTGGAAGCATCTGGTTTCCTTTACAATCATGATATATTTCCCTGGTCATAAGCTTTTGTATGGGTTTTCCTTGAGTTCTTTTTGGCTATTTAATACGTGAGAGAAACATCTTTGATATAAACATTCATGATGGTCAATGCTTGGCAATTATATGAGAACAATGAAACCACGACCATCAAACATGTACTCACACGGGATAATTCCACATGCTGCCTACTTATTTTCTTTGGGATAATAGAAAGTAGTATAATCAGTACTCATAGAAGGCTAGCATTTCTTAGTCTTTTCTGTTTTTTTAAGCTCTGTGGACGACTTCTGAGGTGTTAAGACGAAATTATATGCAAAACAAATAACACGTGATACATCTTGATTATGTTTTGTAGTTAGATGCAGTATCTCTCTCTCTCTCTCTCTCTCTCTCTCTCTCTCTCTCTCATAATAACCCTTTCCTTGGAAGAGTGAAATCAACATTCTCATCCTGGCTTTACTAAACTGAACTAGAGATGTACAACGTTCTCTAAAATTATGACGCTCTCCTTGCAAGAGTGAAACAACACTCTGACCATCCATCCCTGCATCAAAGGTTTCAATCTCCCTCCGTCCCTCCTTATATATGTTAATAATGAGTATGCTTGGTACCAAATACCAGCTCACAAAATTTGGTGCTGGGTAGTGATGTGACCACTTTACATCCACCCATTTGATGAGTGAGCAAATAAGTGGGGACTGTTTTCAAGTGGAATGAGAATTAGTCATTTCACTACCACGCACCAAGTTTCTGCTTGGTACCAAGTATGTCCATTATGCTCTCGCGCACACAGATAAACACACATATTTTTACTCATAGAGATTAATGAGTATCATTGTATACGAGGGAATCCCCTCGTATGATATATGATACCCATTAATCATTATATATATATATATATATATATACTCTCTCTCTCTCTCTCTCTCTCTCTCCTCTCTCTCGCTCTCTCTCTCTCTCTCTCTCATAATAACCCTTTTTTTGGAAGAGTGAAATCAACATTCTCATCCTGGCTTTACTAAACTGAACTAGAGATGTACAACGTTCTCTAAAATTATGACGATCGAGTAAATTGATTGCATATAATGTAGTCTTGGAGACGCTCTCTTAGATTTAATCTAAGGTGTGATCTTTGTGTGTGGGGAAAAGTGTTTCTAAGGTGATACCTTAGACTAAATCTAAGAAAGTGCCTCCAAAACTTTATTATGTGCAGTCAGTTTACTCGATTCAATTCATTTTGATTTATATGCCTTAGATTGTATGCAAAAAAAAAAAAAGGCATAATGCATTAAGTGGTTTTAAAATAATGGTGTTATGATAATATAACTACCGAGACGCTGAAAAATATGTGTTACGCATCATGATTTTTATTTTGTAGATGTTTTAAACATTTAAATCATAATAAATGGAGCTGATTATTTATTGGAATAGTCTAATCCTAGGATCAAGAGACGTGTTTCCTTTGATTGGATATAAGGTGTCACATTAGGAATACTTTTTCCTATGCGCATGCATGTGATCGTGTTTGTGTGTATACAGTGTTCTCTATGTATAATAACCCTCTCGTAGCAATAGGGAAACAACACTCGCACCCTCCATTGAAGGGTTCAATACTTTGTTGAGATCTTGATGTTTACGTCCACATATTCTTTCCATGAAATAGTTTGCTTATTCAGTTATGTACTCACTACTCAAAAGTATCTTTACATGCAAGAACATGATGGGATCACCTCTTATATGATGCAATAAATTAACAGTGTTTTGGCACCGTCTCTCACACCATGCACAACACATGCTCAAAATGGATGTTTATTGTTGGCAAAAATGATAAATGAAATTATGGAGACATGCAGGAACTGGTATCTTTGTCTTAATTGAGTTTTTTTTTTCATTTTTAATTGTTCTTTTCTCTGAAATTAATAATTCTGCTTTTTTGTGATAGATTTTCAGTTGCAAGATTATTGGACTTTTGCCACATTGGCTGTTCGAGGGTTGTGATTGTGCTCATATGAAATGCATGTTGGAATATCATTAGGCTACATAGTAATGCACGACATAATGAGCCGTTATAGGTGCACATTGTCTTGCCATAGCATAACTTATTTAAGTTTGCAAGATTGGAATTGTTGGAAACTTGTGTTTGACCTATTTTTTTCGGGAAACACTGTTTTTCTACGAACCTAGATGCTGTTAATTTATAAAAATTGCAATCTTGAATAGCAATTAGGATGCAGGTGCAGCGAGAAACTTGGGTCTTTTTGTACTAACGGACTTCTGAAGGATGTGGTCTAGTTAACTCTGAATGCTTGTGTTCGATGCTAGTTGAATCTACCCATCTTATTTATTTGCTAACATGAATAGTTTGAAGTTGAGTTGGACTAGCATTCTGTTTTATGTGTGTGTGTCTCAAGATTACATTGTCAGGACCAAATGACGTTAACATGTGTAAATTGTGCATAAATAGGAAGGTACATAATCATATGCAATACCAAAGTTAATGAGCATGCAAGTACTATCTATAAATGGATTTTAATATACCAGTAATTGAAACTGAAAATATAAACATTAACCAAGACTCTGATTTTTATGGTATGGTTATAAAAAATTGCATAATCTAGCAGTTATTTAAACATTAAAGAAAATTATTAATTATCTACAAAAACTATGATTATCTCTTGCATGCATAAGCTTATGCATTGAGAGCTACTAGAACTTACGATTTTTTTTCAACTTTTTTTTTCTTCACTTGAATGGAAATGGTATTCTAAGCGTAACTGAACAGCAACTTTTTGAGATTTGGCGTTCACAAAATAGTCCAATATCTAATAAGTTTGTCATATAATTTGCGTGCATCAAATATTCATCCTATCCACACATATAAAAACAATAAAATCTTGAAACAAACAACAAGACTCCTTTTTTATGGTAAAAAACATAACTTTATATTTTAGATACGACATATATCTTCATAGAATCATATATTACCAAAAAAATATTTTTTAGGAGAAAAAACAATTAAATCGAAGTGACTAGGGTTTTATACCTTTCAAATGGGGTCGATTGAACGATTCAAGTGTGAGAGAGAAGGCAGATCAAACACAAGTAAACCAAAAAAGTTAAAATACACCAATTGTATGGCCGGATTTTTTGTGTAATAGAAGAAACAGATAGCATATCAACATAACTTTAGGGTTTCTGATGAAAACCCACAAAATTTCCTTTTTTCGATTCAACTTTTTAGGGGATTTGATATAGGGTTTGGAACATAGAGAGATCTCCAATACAGGCGGGATTTGGGGGAGGGAGTGTGAGATATAATGAGAGAGATGAAGAGGTTGTAGCTTTTATCGATTCCTATGATTTAGGCTATGTTTGGCAAAACTAGCTGAAAGCTGCGAGATTATAGCTGAAAGCTGTTAAGCTAGCTGAAAGCTGTGAAATTATAGCTGAAAACTGATAGCTGTGTAGCTAGCTGATTGACTAGAGCGGTTTGGCAAAAATAGCTGTACAACTAGCTTAAATATGTTAAATAACTAAAAAGGACATGCAATATTATTGATATAAAATTAGAATTATATATTAGGGACAAAAACGAAAGAAAAAAAATTAGCAGCTCCTTCCCCAAAGACAAACGCTACTTAGATAGCTTTCCAAAAGCTACTTGCAAAAGACACAATCTCCAAAATAATCTTCTCCTATTTTTGGTCACCCAAAAGACACAATCTCCAAAATAATCTTCTCCTATTTTTGGTCACCAAACAGCTCTACTAGCTTATTGATCAAGTCAATAAGACACAAGCTCTTAGATCTAGCTTATTGATCAAGTCAATAAGACACAAGCTCTTAGATAAGACACTTTTTTTTGTTGCCAAACAGTGCCTTAACAGACACAGATAAGTCTTTACTTAGGGGCTGTAAAGTTTTTTATGGAAGAAAATGGAAGACTTACTATAATTTATTAATTTCTCTACTACTTTGGTACACTTACAAAAGAGTAACGACCATTTTCAAGTAAGCCCCCAATCAGTATCAAAGTAGTACACAAAAGTTGGTATGCTTACAATTTTCCTAAAAAAATTATGATGCTCATGTCGCTTTTTTCTATAGTAGTTTCCTTTTCTCTATTTTTCCTTATAACTAGTATTTAGACCCGTGCAAAGCACGGTTTTTAAGTTATATTCTGCAAATATTGAATATGTTAAAAAAAATATTATGCTATAAATAATTTTAATATTTTGCTATAAATCATAAATTAAGTATAAGTTCGAAGCAATATTTTATTTAATACTAAACAAATATTTTTCAGTATTTGGTTTATAAATAAATAGAATTTAACCTAAGATATGTTTGATTCGGTAGTTTATTAATTTGATAAATATTTCATAGAAAATTTAACAAAATGTAGTTCATTAACTGTTTGATTTGGTAGTCCTACTAATTGAACTTATTGCAAATAATTTTTATGTAAATATTATTTTACAAATGACACCCATTATACACATATAAATAGGTAAGAGTGGGGTTTTAGGGCTGGGGTATTCTCTTTTTGTCCGCCGCCTCCTTCAGATCTGAGCTTTCTTTCACTCTCATCCTTCAAAACCGACTCCAATTGATCAAGGGATTGAATCTCGTCGGCTACTCCTCCATCAAATCTCGCCGTCGACTCCGCCCTCGAAGCTCGTCGTCGTCTCCTCCCTCGAATCTCGTCGTCGTTCACGGTTTTAGGTAAAGATTTCTTTTTTTTTTCAGATTTGTTGATTTAACCTTTAAAGATTGATAATTTCATTCTTTAATGCTCTCACTTTTATCATCTTTCAGCTTTCATGCGATAGATCTTGAAGACAAAAGGTAGGTCGTCCAGATTCAGAGTTTTGTCACCAAGGTCTGATCTTTTAGTCTGCTACCTGTCTCATGGGAAATTTTTAGTTTGTTTGTTACTTATGAGTAATTATTTATTTTTGTTTGATTGTAGTTTTCTTTATTTTTACTAAACTGAAAAGATACTAATTTTTTTTTAGCTTTTATTGCATACATATAATATATATATAAACTTATTTACTGTTTTTTAGCTTTTATTGCATGTTATCTGTTTATGAAGGTATATTTGCTTAGCATTCATTGACACGAAGACATGCAAATGCGAGACTTTTAGCCTCTTACCGGTCTCTTGAAATATTATGAGGATTTATTTATTTTTGTCTTTGATTATAGTTTTGTTTATTTTTACTTAACTGGAAAGATGCTAACTTTTTTCATATTTTATTGCATATATATAAAATTATTAGCTGTTTTTTTAGCTTTTATTACATGTTAACTGATTCTGGTGGTATATTTGCATAGTATTCTTTTTATTAGCTGTTTTTTTAGCTTTTATTACATGTTAACTGATTCTGGTGGTATATTTGCATAGTATTCTTTGATAAGTAGACATGCAAATGCGAGATTACATGTTAACTGATTCTGGTGGTATATTTGCATAGTATTCTTTGATAAGTAGACATGCAAATGCGAAACTTATTCTGAAACCGTTGCTTTCTGGTACCTTGATTTTGAAATTAGGGGTAATGTAGTTTTTTCAAGATAATTTGTGCATAATGCACTTTTTCCTTGAATTTTTGATTAGATTTCTGTGTATTCAAATATATCAAAGTTTATATATGTTGAATTTTGAGGTGATTTTTGTTATATAGATTTGAAGCAGTTTTCATTATTCAGAATTTGTTCTATATATTAAATGTAAATTTCATTAATTCTGACTCATTTAAATTTTGTATTCTTATTTCCCTTCGACTATCTAGTAATTTACTTATTTCGGTTTTATTGTAAGCCACAATCATATCTTGCTCTAATTTCACTCAAATATACTCAAACTGGGAAAAAAATGTTACATCTAAATGTTATGACATGCAATTTAGTTAATATGTTGTCGAGCATCCGTGATAAAACATGAACTGTTTTTTTTATTTTTTTTGTTTTTGGTTTGTTCTATTTTGTATTGTTTTGTTCTTTATAGTGGCCTTTGATTTGTAATAATTGAGTGTATGGATTTATTGTATATTGTTGCAAGTTATGTTTTTTTGTTTAGGCATTAAAGGCTTCCTCAATGAATGTTTGCTATCCAATCTATCACAGATGAATTGTTTAATTTAGGTTTGTTTCTGACAGAATTTTTTTTTGAAATGAATGAAAAATGTTTTTTTGGCCCGAGGAGCAATTTTGGTGTTATCTGGGAAACATGTTTGTTTTTAGTGGGAAAAACAAAGTGTTGGGGGCTGTAATGGGAAACACCCCATATTATTGGGGATTTTTTTGGGTGAAATTTACCCATTATTTAATGAACATGGGCAATTTTATTGTAGGTTTCTTGATTTTAGTTTTACGCTAGTGTTAATAGATTAGGTTTATGCTTATTATGATGTTTGGTATTGTTAATAGATTAGTTTTATACTTGATAAATATGCCTTCTCAGTTCTCATACCTCAACTCCAAATTTTAGGGATCATGATCTAACTTTAAGTGCATCAGATATTTCTATCACATTGTTATGATTGCTGTCTTTCATCTCCTGTTACTATCTATAAATGAAGTAATTATTGATGTTTATTTTCTGCGGCTTTGTTAATTAGGTTTCTTATTAATTGTTATTGGAATTTTCTTCGCAGATATGTAATGTCTGCTCATGCTGCGGTCCAAGTGAAAAAGACCATACCATGGCTGGGCGGGTGATATTTTGTGGTTTGAACTATGCTGGGCTTTCTTTCTTTCTAAATTGGGTTAATTGCAAAAAGACCCATTGCCGTATCCCTGTTTTGAACTCACCATCAATCCAAGTTTTGTTGTTAAATCTAAAATTTGACCTGACACTTTATGCGTTTATCATTTCTCATATGCTTGTTTGTGTGTCCATATGTTGTGCTCGCTTGTGAGGGCTTGCATTTGCATGCGTTCATATGTATTTGTGCTTGTGTGTCTCCCTAGGTTGTGGTTCATGATATCTTCTTATGTTATCCATATTGGTCTTTTGGTATATACTCTTGCATATAGTCTAAAAGAAATATGATAAACTTTGCCAAATCTTTTTAATCAGTAGAATTACTTTAGATTTGTCCATGCTGTGCTTTTGCCTTATAGTCATTCACTTGAGAAAAATCTATGCTAACTTTTTTCAGCTTTTATTGCATATATATAAACTTATTAGCTGTTTTTTTAGCTTTTATTACGTGTTAACTGATTCTGGTGGTATATTTGCATAGTATTCTTTGATAAGTAGACTTGCAAATGCGAGACTTATTCTGAAACCGTTGCTTTCTGGTACCTTGATTTTGAAATTAGGGCTAATGTAGTTTTTTCAAGA